GTTCTAGCAACGGCCTGAAGGGGCGCATACGGCGTTGACGTATTTTACATGTGTAAAAAACTAAGGACGTAAAATACCTAGTATTTTACATGTCTAAAACCGTGTAATTTACATTGAGTATTTTACGTGCCCAACCCTGCTCTCTTCTCTCCACCACTCCTCTTCTCTCTCCCTGTCTGTTCCCCCTTCCCTGCTCCCCTCTCTCCTCCTTCCTCCTTGATCCCGAACTGCCGACTCATGCCGCTTCACATTTTCCACACTCGATTTCTCCTCCGCCTTCCGCTTATTCTTCTCGCCTCCATGTCCTCTTGTTCCTCTCCCGTTCCTCTCACTATCACTTCCTCCTCCTTCCTTTCACCTCGCCCTTATACCTCGTTTCCGACCCTTCTTTCACTGACCTCCTTCACCAACCTCTTTTCTCCACGCCATCTTTTCCCCCTCTCTAATAAATTCAAAATAGCGGATATAAAAAATAAAAATTATTAAATTTTCACTTTTGATATCCGCTATATTAACTCCGTTATTTTGAATTTATTAACTTTTCCATATAACTAATATTTATTAATATTTAGCACCCTGAAATTAAGTTTGAATAACCCCCCATACAACACAAAAGCTTGCAACAACATTGATGCAACATTGCATATTGCAGTGTAATGTTACATAGATATTGCAGACATTATTTTACAATATTACTTTAATAATGTTGTAGCAATGTTATTTTAAAATATTGATACAATTGTGCTTGTAATATGAATATTGTTTCCTCATCTCACTTTTATAGTTTACTAGAAATGACAAAACACACACGTAGTTTGTACTTGAGCATTGTATATTTTTAAGAATTTGTATACATACAAAGAAGTAATTGTATGCGCACAACGTCAATTTAAAATAAAAAGTAATTTATCACTCACTGATACTATTCGCAACAGCAGAGTTGTACATCGTTAACTATATATGTTAAACTGTAAAAATACAAATATGTACACGTATATGATTATTATAGACTAATTATGTAAAATCGAAATTATTGTATTAATTATACTTTATATTTTTTTTAAAATCGGTATTTATTATAATAATTATATAGAAAAAATACTGAAAAAGTCTTCTTTTTAAATATAAACTCACAAATTTTATATGTATGGTTTTGTCTCTAAATCTTGTTCGAATTCTCATTCGAATCAATTGAATAAATCAAATAAAAACACAGAACAGATGCTTTATTTCGCACAAGTAACAGATAACATAAAAATGTAAGACATTTACCTCACGCTTTCTCCGCCGTTGCCCGATGCCTCTAGACCTCCTCCGCCTCTCCTTTCCTTGTTGCACTCACACAACACAACACTCACTCGCGAAAATCATCGATCGCGCGAAATTTTGGGCACTCCCGTACGCGATGTGACATACCGCGAAACGCACGAAATATTATTAACAAATATCGCGTGACTTTCTGTCATACAAATTACTCAAACTAACAACTTGCATTTTTTATTCGGAGAATGGATAAATCACTTTTGAATTAGCGATATAAATCACAACATGCGAGCATCGGAAGTATAATCTGCGGTAAAGAAGTAGTTATTACTAGTGTATAATTACCATAAATAGTTGTTATTAATTGCAACAGTTTATCGAGGAAATTTTCGATTACATTTACATAATGTAAAGACGTGCGATAAGCGACTTTCTTTACTTCCTGCCCGTTCAAGATGCGAAGGACAGAGCGAATTACAGCGCGAACGCCGAAGTCGCATAAATTTCTCTCTTTTCCCGAAAATGGAACAGATTACACGAAATCGATACATAATTAAAAGCGCGGTGCGTAAACGAGATGTAACCGCGACAAAGTACCACGATTTACATTCATGTTTTAGACGAGTTATGGCTCCTGCCTACTAGACGCGGCAGCGTTTGCCGCGCGGCGGAAATTGGCTAGGGAATACTGCGATAACCAATCAACGTCTTGCTTACTCGGAAGAAATAGATACATAACTTCCGCCGCGCCGAAAATGTTGAAATCGATCCAACTTTTGCCGCGCGGCAAAATTTATGGCTTCTGCCCAATGGACGCGCCGTCTAGTGAATTTCCTTCAAATGTGTAGGTTATGGCAGGCCTCCCCCCTCGGCTGAAGCCCAGCCGGCGGAGGAGGAACGGGGGGAGTCGCGCAGCGGACTGGGCGAAGAATCGCCCAAGCCGCGACGCCAACCGCGCCAGGCGGCGCGCAAGGAAGAGGCCCCCGATGGCGCGGAGGCCATGGAAGTGGAGGCCCTATCGGACGGGGGGGATAAGGCCTAGAAATGCCTCGACATCCCCCCCGCCCGATACTAGGCGGATTTGGCCTACTTCAGGCCAACGTGAATCATTCCCGCCATGCGCAGGACCTTCTCCAGCAAAGCATGGTGGGATGGGGATTCACGTTGGCAATCGTGGCCGAGCCCCACCGCCCCCCCAGAGACGGCAGACCCTGTTGGGCTGTCGACGATGGGGCTGCGGGGGACTCGGTCGCGATGCGATGGCGGTCGGTGCCGGGAGGCCCCGACACGACCGCCATCGCGAGTGGTGCACGGCACGTGGCCGTCCAATGGGGGCCCATCGCGGTCGTGGGGGTATATTTAAGGCCCACCAAGAGTCTTGCCCCGTTCGAGGGCTGGCTGGAGGACTTGGGACAAGTAGTCCTGAGTCTGAGTCCCAAGCCGGTCCTCGTGGCCGGGGACTTCAACTCGTGGCACACGAGTTGGGGTTCCCGGCGTGACAACGGGAGGGGCAGGGCCTTGGCTCGTTGGGCGGCGGCGCACGGTCTGGTCCTGGTTAAT